CCCGTTTTTTTTATCAAAAGACATCTTATGTGACTAATTGGTGTCAAAATTTTAATTAAATCAAATGCAATCAAAAGCTATGACTTAAACATAATTTTGAATAACTTACATTAGTTTGAGTATAGTGTTATGAAGATAACTTTGTTGACAACTGACACTAGTCTATTTATAATTTAATGTAAGGTTGAAGTTTACCTCTCCATGCTGATCCTCTTCAACATAATGTTATCAGATGGTATTACAGGCAATCTATTCATGGAGGCATAAATTGATTCAATGTGTGTGACGTAATGTGGGAGATGTTCATGGCTGTTCTGACGATGTGTTTGATCAGTCTCTTTAGAACCAGCCCAGTATTCCATTGTACATGTACATGAACATGTTGTAAAATGACAACTGCTTCTATTTTTGGAACAGATGAGCAGCCGTGGTGCCTGCACCACCTTTCTCCTCACATACGTCAGTGAGTGAGTAAGTGTGAAAGATAAGAGCCGGTCGATATGGAGCATGGAAATACTCAGTTTTCCATGAGTTAACTAGAATTAGTGCTAAAGAGCGTAAGAAGGTACTGATGTACAGCCAATTATAGAAAAAAAAAAAGATTCACTTTCCTGCTAATGAACTTAGCAGGGTTCATTGCAGAGAAACTTGTAATTAATGAGACTTGCAGGGTTTTTTTTTTTTTACCAGGCCATTACATACATAAGGACTGATTTTCTGACCTTCAAGGTCCTTTTAAAGCCATATTCAACTTGATCTCTCATGTGTCATCAACATAAGTTCTAACAAACTGTTAACCTCAGGTGCTGGTTGTGACAAAAACTATGATGGTTGAGATAAAGAAAAAGATAGTAAAAGATGCATGATAAAGTTTACTAATTAAATTTGACGACAGAGAAAAATTCAGAAGTTTTATAAACAGGAAAAAAAAATGGAAATGAGTGCAAACTGTTCTCTGAAAAGAAAGATAACATATCAAAAGAACCCTAGGAGTTATATTTATTTTATTTTCTCCTGAATAAAATGTAACGCCAGACGCTTTTCTTTTAGTACTTGGAACATATTTTAAATGTGGCTTAAAAAGGTCAGAGACTTTAAAGACAACAAGATGTTGTTCTAATGATGGAAAGATGGAAAGAGAGGGGTCTCCGTGTACTCTCCTCCCCATGTTTTCATAATGTCTGTTGAGCTTGTTAGTGAATTAGTGCGGAATTTAAAAAAAAAAAAAAACATGATGGGGATGTTGTATCGCAGCACCGTCTAAAGAAAATGAGAGAGTTCTCAAATGTCATCTCCCTACTTTGTCCTACAAAAGGTTCCATTTCAAAAAGGGATTTTAGGACTTCACCATGTTTAAAGAAAAAAAAACCCCACAAGACACAGCCAATTATCTCCAGCAAGATAAAGACGGTTAGAGTACACTGTGTCCAAGACAACAACTTATGATATCAGACTTCAGAATGCAAGTTGAAACTGACCTCTTGGTCAGCCAATTATCTATAAGTGTGTGTTCTATCTGTACTAACATTACCACTAAGTAGCAGTAAGTAGTATTAAGTAGTGCTGCATTCTAAGATGGGTCTTATATTGTTACCTATATTTAGACACTTGATCTTCTCAGGTCTATGCCTGGAAAATCATGTTCAACACAACACACAATTATTTTACCAACACTGGACAAACTCAATGAAAGCCTTGAGTAAAAAAATGAAATATCATTGTAAATATCTAAGTGCCTGTGTTCCAGCATTTATCATATATGCTGGATTATTATCAAAATTTTATGTGATGTATTTTATTTATCGGATAAAATGTGTTAACAATGCTTTCCCAGAAAACAATTCATTGAATTAGAAACAGAAGTCATTGAATCTCATTTCAGAATTAATTCTATAAATATGTTTATGATAATGTTTTTTTAATGGAAATGATTGAAGAGCAAACATTACTCACTGAAAGAAAATGTACTTTTGTAGCATACTCTATTAACTGCAACATCTGGCTGCTTGTCAAAAAATATATTTTTGACAAGAAATTTTAATGACAGCCAGAGTTTTAAAATAAGAAAGAAAATGAAAACAAAAAAAAACAAAAAAACTTTGTAGCGACAAAAAGGTGAAAAATAAATCAAGGTTGCCTTTATTGATCCAATCATTAAAACTTCAAGCAGAGCTTGCCTCAACTGATTCTTCAGGAATGCACAAAAGTAAGACTGAAAAAATCACCCAAAAATAACTGTGTGCTGAATAAAGTGTGTCAGACTTTAAATTACAGATGTACAATTGCGGCAGAGAACTTGAATAAAAATATAACCGAGATTGATAACTTGTGTTGCTCTACACGTGAAAAGGTCAACACAACTCTTGATATTGGATTTGATTAAAAAGCAGTTGTGGTAATCAATATAGTGCAAAACTATATTGTTACTTTGCCCCGTCTCATTTCAGTCATGGAAAAGACTAGGGGCATAGGATTAACAAATTAGCTAATTAAATTAAGAAAAAAAAGTTATACCTTTATCACTTCAAAGAAACACCTCCATCTGAGACAATTCTATTTAAGGTGTTTAATTTCAGGTTTTAGTTTAGCTTAGGCAAGTAAGCTAAATACTATAAATCATGCCTAAAGTATTTTTATGTGTCGCTATATGATTATAACACGATTAATAGAGTTATAGTGGTTGGTTTTCTGAATGTCAACCAGCATACTGCATAATAAACATTCAGGTTTGAGAAGAGTTGTTTGCTAGCGCAGCGCTACAAGGCCATTATCCTGCTTTCCACTTGTTCCATAGCAACTGTATGCTATTCTTGTAATCCTCATCAGTGAAATAAGCACCAAGAGCCATTCATTAAAAAATCTTCTTGAAGCATCAAATTGGATGGGTTCCCTCCTACAATTTCCATTCCTAACGTTAAGCTGTGTTTTGAAACAAGCGGAATTCTACAGTGACGACGACTGTGTCATGTGAAGTGGAACAGCGAGCAGCACAAATTAAAAGTTAAATGACAGCACCGAAGAGAGGTTAAACCAAAGTATGTGGCCAGCCGACATACCAAGTAAAATGAACAGTTTCCATTAGTATGCAGCAAATGCTCGGCACTAACTCCATAATGAGTCTGATGAAATAAAGCCAAATTGATATTCTGTCCCACCTCTTCAGGGTTTTACACCTTTTTGGTTAATCTATGTAACACCAATAAAAACGGGCGAAATGTGAATGCAGACAAGACCAATGAAAAATTACTGACTTTACTCCATATTAAAAACAGAAAAAAGCCTTTTTTTAAAGTCACATATATATTGTGTGATTTCTCCTTGGAATCTCAAGGTAATCAAGGACAGCCCGAGCATTATGTGCTGCCACTAATACAGCTGCTGCTTTCTTGATCCTCTGGGAGTATGTGGCATTCTCTCCGAACAGCAATTATTAAAGGGAATAAAAGGGACATTCGGAGACAAAGGCTGGTGATGAATGAATAGGCTAGATCCCATGTTGAGGAGCGGTCTGTCACCAAGTACTGTTTTACCAGAGACAATACGAGGTAATCATGCAGGAGAAGTTGCAAAAGGGGCGGGTGGGTGTTAAGAGAACAGAGATGAGAACCAAGTGGGAGACAGACTTGGCATGGTGTCCACAGAGAGTGAGAGCAGATAGCACCATCTGCATTCTGCACGGGCACTGTACTGTCTGGCTCACTGTTGCCTCTAATAAAAGCTGCTGCTGAGGCAGAGACAGCAGCCAAGAGGAATGCAGTCAGAGTACAGTAAAGACGTACACAGGGCTCGGTTCACTCAAAATGGAAATTAAAACTTTATCAAAGGAATAACTAAGAACTACAAATTTTCTCATTGGTGATAGTTCAAGTTGGGTTAACCAGACTTGTAATGGTTGGTAATGGTTCTGGTTTAGAGATGAACAATTTAGATGAAATCTTGCCATCTGTTTCTCCATCTCGAATCATGAAACACAAAACAAATACATATAGAAACACAAGATTGTGGCTTATTCATACAAAACAAAAAGCACAAAGTAACAAGTTACTGTACTGATACTAATTTCAAATGAGGAGAGCAGGTACGTGCCTCGAAATATCAACTACTGTTTGGATTCACACACTGACTGAGGTGCAGGCTCAGAGACGCAAGAGGTGAAAGACATGTTCGAGGTGAAGAGGCAGGATTTCAGTGCGTGAGATTTAAAATGGTCTCAACCAAGCAGTAAACACTGAACAGACGATCAGTTCATTTAGCATTAAGGCTCAGATTTTAGAGTAAATATTACCATACTATCAACATGTTTTTATTAAAGCCAAATTGGCATGAAAGGCATAGGTGCTTTCTACAGTGTTGGGTATAATTTAATTAAGTTTTTGTTCTTCAACAACAGACTACATTTTAATGTTTCTGCTCACAGAAATAGCACAAACCAATGATAAACACTGTCTGGTCAGGTACTAAAGCAAAGGTTAATCATTTTATATTATTTTATGTGTCTGCTTTTTGCCAGTGACACTGTAAATGTGTAATTTGGAGAAAATAGTCTTTAAAATAGTTATGGTAGACCATGGTACCACATCCTATTAATGTACGCTTCTATTAACTAGATTACACAGCTCAGCAGTGGGTCCTGACTGCTCATTTAACTGGGAAATATAAATCTATATACTTCTTGCTAAGTAACTATAAACTCAGATTAGGAGGTGTCCTCAATGGCTCATTCTATCAATGGTTCATCAGTCACATTATCTTACTGAAGGTCTCAGAAGAGAGCAAATTTAGGCAAGTGAAGTTAGGCACACAATGGACTAGAATAGATGGATACCAAAATGTTGGTATCGTGACAACACTACAAAGGACGCATTCACTTTGGTGACCTAAAGAATAACAGTTTCTAGAGGGATCCACACATTACTACATGGAGTTCATGGCTGAGAACTTCACCAGACAATAGGCTGAGATATCCAACGACCATGACTGTCATCTAAAGGTCATCTTACCTCTCTGATCTTATCCCGTTTCTCCTTGACGTCAGGCTCTGTTGGTTCTCCATCACTGACGCCCACCACTTTAGGCATGGGAACAGGTGGCAGGGGTTTAGGCCCCGCATCCTTCTTCTTCAGGTCTTCCACAACTTTATTTTTCTCAGTCTGTATCTCAGCCTGCAGCTCTTCACGAGACTTTCTTAGCTTCTCCTTTGCCTCCTGCAGCGCTCGCTCATGGTCGGCCCGGATTTTGTCTCGTAGGCTCTCCTCTTCTTCCCTGTGGGAGTAAGGAACAGATTGAAGATTAAGGGATTTTTTTTTCTTTAAGTATAAAAAGGATCTCAATTAGTAGGTTGGTTAGGCATCTCTAAGTTAGCACAAAGATTAATTTTAGTCAAAATTCAAACTAAATTTCTAAAACAACCTGGTGTGGAAAGGTTTTCTGGGTGAAATTAATTAAAAATGCTTAAAAAGAACAAACACAACAAAATTCATCTGTTTTCAAACAGACCCAGGAAAGTACAAAAAAATAATAAAAAATATAATATACAATACTCAACTGGACACTGGCAACATTTTTATGTAACCAGATACAATATTAAATCCAACATTTGAAGACAGCACCCTGGGCTCTGAGAAATAACAGAATACATATTGATTACTTTCTACCTTTTTTTTGAAAGGATTGTGGAAGAAAGATGAAGTTCTAAAGATTTTTTTTTTTCTATTAGTATTCTGTGCTCCATATCTGATGGCATCCGATATACATCACTGAAACAGCAGTGTTAGTGTCATCAGTGTACAATCTTTCACATAACCTGTAGCAGCAATTAAGACAAATTTTGTATCGCCGTGAAACTTCTGTAGCTTTAGGTGCATCGTGTGAATTATTTTCATTAACATAAAGACAAGTAAAAGTTCATTGGAAACACTGGTAGTAGTACCAGTGATAATCAGTAATAATCAGTAATCGAGTCCAATGATAATGCATGAATAAAAAACACCCTTGTAAAGTTTCTTTACTAGTCTAATAGTTATAGTTTTATATTTTGGATCTATGGAGTAGGACTGATTCTAATATAGTCGCATTCCTATGTCCTATCTGAGGTGCTGCTAAGATTAGGCCATTGTTTCTAGTTTGATACTGCTTCTGTTTTTTTCACTGAACTATCCTTCTCTGCTGTTTAATCTCTACATTGTCCAATCACTAAATCATAGAGTAAACAAAAATAATGTCTTGCTTTTTCTTAATAAAATAATGCAACAACACTGATGAAGAAAAACAGGGTCCAGCAGAGTTCCACGCTGGCAGCAGGTGTGTCTGTAATTTGCGTATCTGAAGCAGTAACATAACACCTGTGCGGCTGCCACGCTGTTACATCAGTGTCCATGAAACAAGAGGAACACAATGAGGAGGTGAGCCGCAATGAAGAGGAAACATCATCTGTGGTTTCACTTGGTGTCACAAGCCCAAGGGTATTGATAGAAGTCCAACCCGTCTGGGAGAGGTTCAGTAATATAACGCAAATTCAAGGAGACTCTTTCTCACCCTTGTATTAAGACAAAGGTGAAGTAATACATGATTTTACTTATGCGAAAATGTTTATAGGTTTGTAATTATAATTTCGGACACAGCAACATTTTCCTAGTGTTTGTGGGTTTTATTTTTTCTCAACATCAAAATAATCAAAACTAATGATCCCCCTTGACCACTGATTTCTTCTCTAATGTTTTCATCCATTCTGACATGTTGATTTTAAGTGTTAGGGGAAACTAAGGAGACTTAATGTGACACATCAAATACAGAGTTCAATCCAATGAAATTGTGTGAAATTACTGCAATCTGAGTTCAAACAGGTAATTATGTTGGTTAACGTCCTGCCATGTAATAAACATAGGACTTGTGGGAGGGACAGAGAACCTGCAGTGATCTGTGTGGACTCAGCTGTGAGCCTTCCCAGAACATCGCTGGATAGAAGAAGAAAACATCTCTCCACAGTGTGAGTTCACATCTGTGGAGAAACTTTGCAAAATCTCCAGCGAGTAGATTCAAGGAAACTTAAAAGATTTTCTTTTTTTAGTGTAGAAAATAAAGAGGTATAGTGGTTGTAAAAATAAATATAATAAAACAACACTGACTAACAGACCTTCCAGTCCGTCCGGACCTTGTTGCTGGGACTATGTGAGTGCCAGTAGACATAGAAGTACATCTATCAGCACCAGGAAACCTATGAAAGCTACTGGTGCAGATTATCCTGAGAGTGTAAATACAATAAACACATGCTGCCATACACGAGTAATGATGCTGAGAAATCAGCTGGGCTGTCCAGGTGGAGTTAAACTACATTTGCCAGTGGAAGTACTATATAGCTCAAACATGTAGGAAAAACTGTTAAGCAATGCACATATAAAGAAGGATTTAAAGTTTGAAAAGCTTAACATATATTAAGGAACAAAGTCCTCATTTGTCAAAACCTTTTTTTTCCTCAGTGAATGACAATTTTACAGAGAAAACTTGTTTCAAAATGAGATATGCAGAGAAAAGAGTGTAGAGAACACAGGAATTCAATAAACATGTGCAAAGATTTTCAAAAAGAACCATTGTATCCAAAACGTAATTAAACATCCATTTCTTATATACGTACATCTACTTTCTACACACCATTAACTGGTCCAAGCTCCAGCTGAGGTCATGGCTTCATTCAGCAATCACTGAGCAAGTCAAAAAGTCAAGCAAAGCCATATCCAAAAACATTTCTAGCAAAGTGTCGGTTCAAAAAAGCAGGAGTAGAAATAAGTGGGCAAGGAAAATAGAAGATTATCATGTGATAAAATGAATGGAGACTGCAACCAGTGCCAGCAGCACGTTAAAAAACCCCACAGCAGACCAACAGCAAAGAGAGATGTTTCATAGTAATTATACTTCACACGGCAGCACATAGTGCATCCATTTTATAATTCTGTCACGCAGCTGAATATGGGCCTAACAGAGACTAAAATAAACTGCCTCCAAGACAAGTTAAGTAACGTCACTAATAAATATTCATATAGTACCTCTGTGTCTTTTGAGATTAGTTGATAGGTAACATAGTGTATGTGCTAGCATCTCTGTGTGCGTGTCTCTCTCTCATATACACACATCATAAGATTTACATCACACACCTTCAACTGGTGCAGTTCAAACAAGATCAAAGTTTAAATTTTTCAAGTTTTTGCTCTTAGCTGGTCTCAACACTTAGGTTATTTAAATAGGTATAGCTATTTCTATATTAACTGTATCCGTTGATATCAACTATATCAACTTTATATGTATATAAATAAATATATATACACGGGTTTTTTTTATTTTAAAACATAATGGCAAGTGATAGCTTCTCAACAGCAATACGTTATTATAACAGGCTACAAATTAACTACCTATATTTTCCTTGAATTAGTTTGTGTTGTGTAGCTTAAGTTGGGCTTCTAATTTTGGCTATTTGTTATCACTAACTGAAACATGGCATTTTTAAAACACAGTTTAGATCAAGGGTCTCAAAATCAGGCCTGCAACTACATGTCATACTCAATGTTGTAATATACAGTATACATTGGATTAAACAAACAAACAGCGCACCCTAGTGAAATGACAGCGTCAAAAGTAAGTTGGACAATCCTGCTCTGGATATTTGCTGCATACAATTGACTTGACTGCCCTAAAAAGACAACTATTTGTTATCTTTTTAGGGTAATCTTGGTCACTTTGATTTAAAATACCAAAAAAAAAACAATTCATGGAGTAGTGTTTGTTTTGTTAGGTTGTTTATTTTGGTGATGACAAAATACATTTGTATCTTCTACTTACTGGTGTGATAAGGAGTTTTGGGTTTTAGTCAGAGTAGTCTTGTTACATGCACCACTATGTGTGTCTACACCAAGGGAGTTTCACCCCTCCTCTGTGAACAACCCTCTGTGAATGAGTGCGCCCACAGCAACATGCATTTAAATGTGATATTTATATGCAGCCGATGCTGGATGACTGTGTAATGTCTGAGTGTTCACATGCAGCATGGTTGAGTGTATGAGACGCCTGCGAGTGTGTCACAAGAAAATGAGAAGGTTAGGGTGACACTATCACTTCTAATGGCTGCCGCATCTAACGCTGCCCTAGATATGTTGTTGCAGACACACCAACACGCCCAGGCAAATGCACACATTTCAAAGCAGTGCACATCAGCGACTCCAGAGAAAACTAATCTCAACACAAAGCATGCTTTAGCACTCTCTTCTTTCTTAGCCAGTACATGGCTCTTCGTCCTCCTCTTATCTTTTATCTCATGCTACTCTCTCTTTTTCTCCAGGCTATTATCAGACTCACTCAGGCATCGCTGGTCATTCTCTTCTGAGTCTCATGTAATGTCAAACATGCAATTAAGAGCACATCAACAGCTGCCTGAAACCATTAAGATGACAAAGATGAAGCATTGACTAAACCTATCCCACTGCTAGGTGACCACACAAAGCCCCGACTTCTCCTTTGTTTGCTGGTTAAACTAATCAATATTAGGGCTTTTCTAGGCCAATCCTTTTCTGTTTTAAATTGCACAATTGGTCCTGAAGAAGCTCTTTACCACAACAGCTCAGGGTTTTACACGCCTGAAAATGGAGAATTATCAAAAACCTTACCAAGATCATACATAAAATAATGCAGTTACCTTCTTTTACTTCCTTACATTTTGTTCTGTACAGTTTGAATGATTTCATTTCCTCTCCATTATATTTACCAATCAGGTAAATATTTCACTGACTTCAGCGTTGATACTACTGACTTCTCTAAAATGTCACTACTGCCACACCTATGTCTTTACAGGGATGACCTGACAAGGAATAGGACATGGAAAACAAGTTGACAACAAGTTGAGTTATCCCTAATTTAAGCCACATTGTGGTATTAATGCACTCACACTGTGTAAAATCAAATTACTGTATAAGCTGCAGATCAATTGAAATGAAAACGGCGGTATAGGTGCAGCTAAGGTTCATTTGTCTCCAATATACTTCTAAACTTAAACATGATTGAATAGAGCAGAGTCTTGACCTCCCTGTTAGCTTATATTACTAGCAGAGTCTTGACCTCCCTGTTAGCTTTCTGTCAGTAATAATTTTCCTAATTTGAAAAACTTCCTTCCTATTGTCAGAATTCCTTCTTCAGAATTATCTTGAAATCTAATGCTCAGCAAATCATCTTGCTTCTCTGTGGCAGCTAAAGAAGAGCAGCAGCTGTTGGCTTCCTGGTGGGAAGAAGGTTTTTTTTTTCAGCCAGTCGGAAACATAAGGCTCCATGCCATGTATCCATGGTAACAAATAGAAACACATATACATAAAAGAAGACACTGAGAACACGTGAAGTCTTAATTCAATATAATTTACAAATTCAAAAAGGAGATTAAAATGAGTGGACTATTACAGGGCAGGACTTAGAATTAAGTGATCTCTCACTCTTGTGGAGCAATGCAAATATGAAGTCAGCCTATTTTGAAAAAAGCAGAAACACGTGTTCCCTGAATTGAAAGACTGGCTACATAGCTACTTGAATTACAACATAGATTGAAATAAAATCTTTCTAAAATCTAATAAAATAATCTGAACTCTAGTTTTAGTTGTCTGTCAACGGAATGTGTTAATGTTGTAAACGAAATCATTGTCGCCTGAGACTGAATCTAATGTCTCAAATCTAATTGAGGCAGTCACTCCTCTTGTGAGGTTTGCAGAATAGAATAGTTATTCTATAATAACAGCATTCTCTAAACACATTACAGGGTGACATACAAAGGATGGGTGGAAATGCTAATGGCTACAGCGGATAGGAAATTAGCCATAAGACGAGATCCCTGACCTTAGCTGGAAGCTAAACATCCTTGTACATTCCCAGCCGAGCTTGACTCACTTAGATTAATTACAGAGACACTAACGGAGACTACCTGATATAACAACATGCATATTTATTTAGTCTGGTGATGCAAACAGTAATCAGCAACACAAAGTGATACGCTGTGCTAATTTAGATGAAAGCCAACTGATTACACTACTACTTACACCCAGACCATGAAAAAATGTAGTGCACACATAGAATGTTCTTTTTTTTAAAAAAAAATAAAATAAAAGTCTATATGTTTAAAATTCATTAACATTGGATTTTTTTTTAAATCAAAATAACTGCACGCTTCTGCTTCAGACGTGATGGTGGTTCTGGACCAAAGTCATCCCACGTGTATACACTTCAAGAGAAGTTTTTTACTGTTCAAGCCAAGTATTTCTAACCTTTATTCCTAAAAGGGAACCTATAAGAGTAAAGAGTGTTTGTCTTGTTAGGCATCTCCAAGGTGTAGAGCTCTTAAGGGCTCTGGGGACAGTCCACGCATTTAAAGTCATGTGGTCAAGTTTACATCCTGGCAACACATACTAATTGGCGGCAATTGTCTTGTGAGCACCAAGTCTATTTTTAAACACAAACCAACTCAAACCCATTTGCAAAAGTAGAACAAAGGCTTATAAATCTGAGAACATTC